GGCCACGAAACGTGTGAGGGATGTGCCAATATGGGCGGCGCGGACGCATGCGAATGGCACCACTGGGGCCTTCGGTGGGACGCCCTATGGGGCCACGAAACGTATGAGTGGTGTGCCGAAATGGGCGGCGGGGACGCATGCGAACGGTAATTACGAGTGGGGCCTTGGGTGGAGCTCCCTATGGGGCAACAAAACGTATGAGGGGTGTGCCGAAATGGGTGGCGGGGACGCATGCGAATGGCACCACTTTGGCCCTAGCTGGAGTTCCCTATGGGACCACGAAACGTGTAAAGGGTATGCCGAAATGGATGGCGGGGACAAATGTCAACGGCACCATTGCGGCTTTAGCTGGAGCTCCATATGGGACCACCAAATGTGCGAGTGGTGTGCCGAGACAAAGACATGCAGAGGGCAGAGGCAGGGATGGGAGGAGGGAGGAGGGAGGAGGGAGGAGGGAGGAGGGAGGAGGGAGGAGGGAGGAGGAGGAGGGGAGGGAGGAGGGAGGAGGAGGTAGGAGGAGGAAGGAAGGAGGATGAGGAGAGGAGAGGAGAGGAGAGAGAGGAGAGGAGAGGAGAGGAGAGGAGAGAGGAGAGGAGAGGAGAGGAGAGGAGAGGAGAGGAGAGGAGAGAGAGGAGAGGAGAGGAGAGGAGAGGAGAGGAGAGAAGAGGAGAGGAGAGAGGAGAGGAGAGGAGAGGAGAGGAGAGGAGAGGAGAGAGGAGAGGAGAGGAGAGGAGAGGAGAGGAGGGGAGGGGAGTGGAGAGGAGAGGAGAGGAGGGGAGAGGAATGAGACGCGGGGCGCTCTCTTCAAAACGAGACAAAACAACTATGACTCAACCGGAGCCCAGGGCCCCATCTTGCTGCTGCATGTGTCGAGCCCGATCGATGCGCAAGGAAAAAAACGCCCGCTGTATAAAAGAATGTGACGCCAGGATGTCAAATCCGAAGACTCATGCTTGCGCCGCCCTTCCTTATCCGAGGATCGTCCTCCTTGTACCACACGCTGGCCTCGCAGATGCGGCCGACCTCGTCCTTGAGCAGGAAAGTTAGGGAAGGGACTGGCTCAGTGGAAAAAACATCGACCTCGGCGATACATCGCCTGCAAAAAGGCTTGGTAACAATATCCGCGCATTCCTGGGCGGGGTGTGAAGTAAGGTTACTATCGGCGATTACTGGCCGATTGGGGGTCGATGCATCCCCCCCTGATCCAATCTCCCTCAGTGATCCTCGTCGTGGTTTTCGGGTCACAACTCGGGTCTCCGGCAGCCGTTCGGTGCGATCTGGGCACCCCCAGAATGCTCTCGGCGAGGCGCAGCCGCTGAAGAGCACCCCGAGGCTAGAAAAACCGCCGAGAACCGACGAAAGCGTCCGAAAGCCTCAAACCTCGAACCCCAAACTGCATTCCCAGACATCCACCGATATAATTTTCTCAATTCCGCGGCCACGACCGCATCCCCGGGGTCGGTTTCTGGTTCCAAATCCCATTCCGAGGGTGGCCCCCGAAGGCCGAAATCCAGAAGAAACCGCTGACTAAAATACCACGCCGTCGGTTGTTTTCAGTTCCCCCAGCGCTGTCCCTGAGTCCTCTGGGCCAAAATCGCGGCGCAGCACGAGGCTCCACAGCAGCGCGGGCAGCGCGGCCGCCGCATGAGCCAGCGCCAGCAGCGCGTGGCGCGGCCGACGCAGGCACCCGCGCGGGCAGCGCATGGTCCAGCCCGCGCCTGGTGGCGTGGGCGCCTGGGCCAAGTGCATCGGACGTGGTCGTTGCTCTTGTCCACGCCTCCTCCGCCTCCTCCTCCTCCCTCCTCCTCCTCCTCCTCCTCCTCCTCCTCCTCCTCCCTCCTCCTCCTCCTCCTCCTCCTTCTCCTCCTCCTCCTCCTCCTCTTCTCCTCCTCATCCTCCTCTCTCTCCTCCTCCTCTCCTCCTCCTCCTCCTCCTCCTCCTCCTCTTCCATCCTGCTCCCTCATCCACCTCCTTCATCCTCCTCCCATCTCCTCCCTCCTTTTTCCTCCTCCCTCCTCCTCCCTCCTCCTCCTCGTTCCTCCTCCCTCGTCCTTCCCCTGCTCAATTCCTTTTCCCCTATGAACAACTTCTCCCTGTCGCACCCCGAGGCCGGTCGAAAGGGCGGGCTGGGCGTTTCCCCTGAGACTTCCTGACCACTTATGACCCTGAAGCTGAAAAATGGCAACAGTTTCACAAATGCAAGTCGAGTAGTTTTCAAAATGTGGTTCGGCAAGAACTTCACGAATTGAGTGCGGGTGTTGATTGTTTGTATGTGGCTCTCGCCTTAGCGCCGCGCACATTCGTTTTAAGAAAGTGCAGGAGCTTCACGGTTTGAGGGCGGGTCGTTTTTCAAAATGTGGCTCTCGCCTTAGCGCCGCGCACATTCGTTTTACGAAAGTACAGGAGCTTCACGGATTGAGGGCGGGTCGTTTTCAAAATGTGGCTCTCGCCTTAGCGCCGCGCACACTCGTTTTCAACATTTGCAAAAGCTTCACGGATTGAGGGTGGTCTTTTTTTTGAATGTGGCTCTCGCCTCAGCGCCGCGCTCACTCGTTTTAAGCATTTAAAGGAGTCTCACGAGATCCCATGGTCAAGGCACCAGAAATGGCGTTTTGGAAAGATTCAGGAGTATGAGGGCGCAGCAGTTACGTTGATTCGAGGCGTTGAAGTCCCAGGTATGGCGCTCTGGCACGATGCAGGATCGTCGAGGCGCGACAGTCAGGTTGATCCGCGGCGCTGGAGTCCCGATAATAATGTTTTGACATGCTTCAGGCATTGTAGGGGCCCATGAAGAAGGACCTTGGAAGGAGGGTCTATGCCAACATCGTTGATGACTCTTGGGTTCATACTTGTCTTCCTCCTCCTCCTCCTCCTAATCTCATCATCACCATCATCTTCATCATCATCATCGTCATCATCATCGTCATCGTCATCGTCATCATCATCAGCATCAGCATCATCATCATCATCATCATCCTCATCATCATCATCATCAGCAGCATCATCATCATCCGCCTCCTCCTCCTCATCCTACTCCTCTTCCTCATCCTATTCATCCTCCTCCTCCTCCTCCTCCCCCCCTCCTCCTCATCCACCTCCTCCTCCTCCTCTTCCCTCCTGCTCCTCCTCCTCCTCCTTTTCCTCCTCCTCCTTCTCCATTCCTTTTCCGTATCAATAACTTCTCCCTGTCGCACCCTGAAACCAGACTTTATGTGTGGCTGGTCGTTTCGCCTGAGACCTCCTCACCAATTATGGCTCTGAAGTTTCAATATTGGCAACAGCTTCACAGATGGAGGGCGGGTGGCTTTCAACATGTGGCTATCGCCATAAAGCACCGCGCAGATTCGTTTCAGAAGCTTGCAGGAGTTTCACGGATTTAAGGCGGGTCGTTTTCAAGATGTGGCTCTCGCCTTAGCGCGGCGCACATCCGTCTCAAAAATTGCCAGAGTTTCACGGATTCAAGGCGGTCCGTTTTCAACATGCGGCTCTCGTCTTAGCGCGGCGCACATTCTTTCTCCAAATTTGCAAGAGCTTCACGGATTGAGGGCGGGTCGTTCTCAAAATGTGGCTCTCGCCTTAGCGCTGCGCAAATTCGTTCTCAAGCCCCGAAGGCGCCGATTGCAAACCACGCCCGGCAGAACCACACCAATTCTAGTCGCCGATCGGGGCGTTGGACGCCCGACATGACAAAAATTTGTACAATGCCCAACAGCACATGTTATCCGAAGCCAGCAGCGGCCGCTGCTGAGCAGGAGGCCCTCTGTGTCACACAAAAAAACGTCCCCAGCAGCACCGACAGCGAGCTCCGCGGCGGCACCGACAGCGAGTCCTGTTCGAAATGAAGTGAACTGCTGCCGGTCTTTGCACCCACTCTTTCCGAAACCATTTCGATCGTCCCGAGGGGCCCCCTGTGCCTGCCAAGGTCGGCTCTGCCTGATCCAAGCCCCGGCCTCGCCCCCAGGGCCATCTGCGCCCCAGACGTTGCCTCATCGTCGCCGCTCTTCCGCTCCCGTCTCTCCCTGCTCCGTCGCCGGTCCCTCCTGCCTGGTAGGTCTCGATGTGCTGCCCTCCGTACCCGAAGAGAGGGAGGGAGGGAGGGAGGGAGGGAGGAGGGAGGGAGGGAGGGAGGGAGGGAGAGGAGGAGGGAGGGAGGAGGAGGAGGAGGAGGAGGAGGAGGAGGAGGAGGAGGAGGAGGAGGAGGAGGAGGAGAAGGAGGAGGAGGAGGAGCGCACACCCCGAGAACGATCCTCGGTCTGCCCACTGGCGCCCCTCAACACGGCAGCGAGCCCTCCCGTCCCTGCACGGCGGGAGTCGCGGGAAGAGGCGGGGGAGGGGGTCACAAGCAAGGCATCCTCCTCCCCCTTGTGCTGCTCCACCGCGTCTTCCGCCTCCCTCCCTCCTGCCCCTCTTCCTGCTCATCCTCACCCCTCCCCCTCCTCCTCCTCCTCCTCCTCCTCCTCGTCATCGTCGTCGTCTTCAGGGTCGGCGGGACCAGCCGTAAGGCCTTCGCAATCGCAGGAAGAAGCGGAGGAGGTGCTCACAAAAAAATGCAGGCAAGGAGATGCTGCAAGCCGTGTTCGCAGTCCGTCGTCGTCTCCTGGATCGGCGCGGTGCCAAGCGGCAAATGGCTCACTCTTGCTTTCGTCGGCGGCGTGCACATCTCCGCCAGGCCTCGGAGGGAGAAAGGAGGAGGGAGGAGGGACGAGGAAGGAGGGAGGAGGGAAGAGGAGGGAGGAGGGAGGGGGGACGAGGAAGGAGGGAGGAGGAGGGACGAGGAGGAGGAGGGAGGAGGGAGAAAGGAGGAGGGAGGAGGGGAGGAGGGAGGAGGGAGGAGGGAGGAGGGAGGAGGGAGGAGGAGGAGGAGGAGAGGAGGAGGAGGAGGAGGAGGAGGAGGGGGAGGAGGAGGAGGAGGGAGGGAGGGGGGAGGGAGGGATGGAGGAGGGAGGAAAGAAAGGAGGGGAGAGAGAAAGGAGGAGGAGGAGGAGGAGGAGGAGGAGGAGGAGGAGGAGGAGGAGAGGAGAGAGAAAGGAGGAGGAGAGAGGAAAGGAGGAGCAGGAGGAGGAGGAGGGAGGAACAAGGAGGGAGAGAGGGAGGGAGGGAGGAGGAACCGAGGAGGGAGGATGAGAATGGAGGAGTGTGGAGGAACGACGAGGCAGTGAGGGGGCGGAGGGATGGACCTCTTCCCCCAGCGTTCGCAGCGACACGCGATGCGGCGGCGCGCGCTCCCTGGCCGCCGCGGGCGCCGCAGGCCCCTGGCGCACGGCTGGCGGCCTTGCGCCAACCTCGCAGCCCTGGCGCGCCAGAGGGAGGGGGAGGGGAAAGCAGGAAGGAAGGGAGGGAGGGAGAAGGCGAGGGAGGGAGTGAGGGAGGGAGGGAGGAAGAGAGGGAGGAAGAGAGGGAGGAAGAGAGGGAGAGAGAGAGAGAGAGGGGAGAGGGAGGGAGGAAGAGAGGGAGAGAGGGAAGAGAGAAAGAGGGAGAGAGAGAGAGAGAAAGAGAAAGATATATACATACAAACATATATATATATATATATATATTCCCCAATCAGAGCTTGGCGGATTAAAGGGTAGGTGAGATGTGCCGCCGATTCGGTGGCCGGGCCCGGGTGCCCGGGTGCCTGGGTGCCCGGGTGCCCGGGTGCCCGGGTCCCGGGTGCCCGGGTTCGCCGCCGATTCGGTGGCCGGGCCCGGGTGCCCGGGTGCCCGGGTGCCCGGTTGCTTAGGTTCGCCGCCGATTCGGTGGCCAGGCCCGGGTGCCTGGATGCCCGGGTGCCCGGGTGCCCGGGTGACGGGTGCCCGGTGCCTGGGTGGGTGCCGGGTGCCCGGTCCCCGGGTGGATGATGCGCGGGACATGGAAATAGACACGACCAGACACTTGAAAATCGTTGACAGTTCCACACCAGAACGGCCCAATAATAGCCACGAGGCCTTGTCTTCCAGGGCGGGTGCCGGGTGCTGTGTGCCCGGGTGCCCGGTGCCCTGTAGCCCTATAGCCTTATAGCCCTATATCGCTATCGCCCTATAGCCCTTTAGCCCTATAGCCCTATAATAGCCTTATAGCCCTATCGCCCTATAGCCCAATAGCCCTATAGCCCTACAGCCCCAAACAAATTCTGCTTCGGGCTTTTCTCCGGTATCATAGGGAACAAAAAACAAACAAACAAACAAACAAACAAACAAACAAACAAAAAAGGAGGAGGAGGAGGAGGAGGAGGGGGAACGGGGCGGCCTCTCGCTCCCCCGCCCCCCCTCGCTGGAGGGCTGGGCCCGGCCCCACGGGCAAAAACAGCAGCCGACTGCAGCCGCAACCACAACAAAAAACAGGCCGAGGCGCGCGGGCGCGGCGCGCGCGCGCGCAGCCCCCCCCCCGCCTGGGCAGAGGGGGGGGGGTGGTGGTGGTGAGGGGGGGGGGACGGTTCGAGCAGGAGGACGACTACAGAGGTAGTGCACCGCAAAATAGACGCTCTCGTCGAATATACAGAAAACAGACACCCACACCCACACCCACACACACACACACACACACACACACACACACACACACACGCAACACACACGCACACGCACACGCACCACACACACCACAACAACACACACACACACACACACACACACACACACACACACACCACACACACACACACACGCACGCACGCACCGCACGCACGCACGCACGCACGCACACACACACACACACACACACCACACACAAACACACACACACACACACACACACACACACACACACACACACAACACAACCTACACATACACACACACACACACGCCGCACACACACACACACACACACACACACACACACACACACACACACACACACACACACACACACACACACACAACACACACACACACACACACACACACACACACACACACACACACACACACACACACACACACGCATTCACACACACACACACACACGCATTCACACACGCATTCACATACACACACACACACTAACAAAAAAAAACTAGCATAAACACAAGCATAAACACAAGCACAGAGACAGCAACAAAAACGTATAATGTTGCCCTATATTTGCGAACAGCATCTGTTTTTGTGCGCAGATCCGACGTCATGTCAGTTCCGGGGTAGACAAGCTCTGCAGTCGATCCACCACTCGAACGATAGAGGGGAGGGACCAGCTCAGGGGGAGAAACATCGACCCACAACATGGCGCTGCGACGCCGACGGATCGGCGACAGGCCCCCGATGGCGAGCCCGCACGCTCCTGGGCGGCGCGGACCATCGTGTCTGTGCGACCCGGCGGCCCATGGGCGACCGGGCGCCGAGGCACCCCTCCCCGAGCCCGTCCGACCCCAGCGAGGCCCCTGAGCGAAGCCCCCGGACCCAGGGACGGGGGGGTGGTCGGGCAGGACTGGCCGAAGGCCTTCCCCCCCCCCCCCCGCCGCCCCAGCGTGCAGGAGGGAAGGCGACTCACATGGGCGTGGTCTCGCGGGTGAACTCGGACACC